TAAAGTACATTACATTAGCTTTAATTTAAGATATATATAAAAGTGTCAGACCTTCCGGAACATTTTCAAAAGTTAAGTTGAAAAAGTTAATTTTTTGTGAAAAAGTTGTCATTTTGAATTCCCCCCTTGTGGGCAGGTTAAGTGTCAGATTTACAAAAAAAATATACCAAATGATAGGTAAAGACATCAAGCATCTATATAAAAAAAAATTATATTGATATGTTCATTTTTGAAAAAGTTACGGCAGTTTTTAGTAAAAAAAATTGAAAAAATTTCGAAAATTAGCGATTTTTAAATTTGTAATTTTTTTGGAGGTTTCCCCCATTTACGNGCGATTTTTAAATTTGTAATTTTTCACCTGTTTGGGCAAATGCTGAGCTTAGAAAACTCATTATTGATAAGAAATGTGCTCATAAAAAATTTAAACTTAGTCATTCTCATCAAGATTATTTTCTCTAATCTCCCCAAGAAATGCAAAAAATTAATATCTCTCTCCCATACACAATTTATCACAAATTTAGAAAACGGAATCCAAAAAAATATTAAACCTTTTTGGAAATATATTAACTCACTGAAAAAAACTAATAATGTAGTACCAGATTGCGTTAGATATCAAAACCACTCATCTTCAAACATCTATGAAACAGCTCAATTATTTGCCAACTACTTTTCCAGTGTTTATGATACTGACTCAAGAATCTTTAATGAAGAGTCTCAAGAAAATTTAAATACGTCTTTAATGAATAATATAAATGTTAATTTAAGCTCCATGTCTATTGATCAAAATGAAATTCAAGAGTTATTAAATAATTTAGATATGAATGCGAGTACGGGACCTGATGGTGTATCATCAATATTTCTAAAATTGTGTAGTTTTGTATTAATTAAGCCACTTCATTTAATTTTTAATAGATATTTAAATTTAGGTTATTTTCCCAATATATGGAAAAAATCTTTTATCACACCAGTACACAAATCAGAAGATAAGCATAATGTTTCAAATTATAGACCAATTTCTAAATTATCACATATACCTAAAATATTTGAAGCGATTATAACAAATAAATTAACTAAACTAATGTTGCCATATATCTGTAAAAATCAACATGGATTTAGATCTAAAATGTCAATCTCAACAAATTTATTACTTTTTCAGTCAAAGATACTTGATTCTCTTAATGATTATGTCCAATTAGACTCAATATACACCGATTTCCAGAAAGCTTTTGATAAAGTAAATCATAGCCTACTTTTAAAAAGTATTGAAATAAATATTTTTATTAAAAAAATATTTTTGAAAAAGTTATGGCACTTTTAAGTAAAAAAAATTGAAAAAATGTCGAAAATTAGCGATTTTTAGTTTGTAATTTTTTTGGAGGTTTCCCCCATTTACGGGGAACGAGGGAATTTTTTTCAATTTTTGAAGGTAATGTCTTCGACTAGATACGATTTGTGATCTTTCAAGCATAATTGAAAGAAATCGGCTCAGTGAGAGCTGAGAAAAAGTGATAACAGACACAAAAAAAAAAAAAANGTAAAAAAAAAAACACATCATAGTAAAATTAATACCTTCTCAGCTTCGCATCGAAGCTAAAAAAAAAAAATCGCATCTTAGTAAAACCAATACCTTCTCAGTTTCGCATCGAAGCTAAAATGTAAAAAATGAAATCGAGAATTTTCACACAATAATAGCATTCGGTAGCCATTTTCACCGTGAAGACAAAATGAAGTCTGAAATTTTTTTTTTTTTTCTTAATAAAGTACATTACATTAGCTTTAATTTAAAGTATATATAAAAATGTCAGTCTTTTCGGAACATTTTCAAAAGTTAAGTTGAAAAAGTTGCCATTTTGAATCCACCGTGGGCTGGTAAAGGGTCAAATGTTCACAAAAGNCATAATAAAGTACATTACATTAGTTTTAATTTAAAGTATATATAAAAATGTCAGTCTTTCCGGAACATTTTCAAAAGTTAAGTTGAAAAAGTTGCCATTTTGAATCCACCGTGGGCTGGTAAAGGGTCAAATGTTCACAAAAGTGTGTTCTTTTAAGAAAAATACATAAGTAGATACCAATAATACCATATTATTCTTATAACAGTGTAAAAATATAAATTATATTACATTTTGAAATGTAGCAAATAAGCATTGTAGTTAATACTTTATTTTAATCGTTAAAAAAAAATGTTCAGTGTCAAATTATTCATAAATAAAATAATAAATCATATATATTTATTAAAGTATTTAATTTATCCTCAGAACATAAATCATACAAAAAAATATCTAGCAATATAGTTAAAAATATACTGAAATGTTGCTGAAAATGTATAATTCAAATAATTATATATATTACCTATAATGACAGTTAACATGAAATGTATCCTCAATATACTATACTGTAGTTTATTTATATATTCAATACAGCTGTTCTTTTATCCAAATAATATATTTGAATATTTATAAATTATTTATAGATCAAAAATATAAAATGCTAAAAGGTTAAAAATTATATCGTAATTAAATAATATTACATTATTCAAATGTAATAATAAGCATTGCAATTAATTTTTTTATTTAGTTTGATAAAAAAATACTCAGTCTTAAAATGTTCATAAACAAAAAAATAAATCATATAAATTTATTAACTATAGCAAATACATTTAAGTGACGTCAAATGATATATGATTAAAGATTTTGAAACTCTTATTTACAGTTCTAAACAGTTAAATAGTATCATTTTTAATAGTTTCCTAAGAAAAATAAAAAGTTTACCTATTGAACTTTGTTAATTGTTTTTACAAATAATATGAAAGCGTTCACTATTGTAGCATTATCGTTCATCTTGTTCGAAGTATTTTTATCAACATCGTGTAATGAGGAGAAGGCTATTAATATATTGAATAAATTTCTTAAGTCAGAAAAATGGACATTCAATCATGAATACAAGTAGTATGATACCAAAATTGGTACATCCTTTATAACAAATGATTTACTCATAACTGATTCTGACAATACAAATATTGTTACCGAAAAAAATGTATATGACAAAATATCAATAGGTTCGAAATTGTTAACTTATGAGTACGCAAAAATTGTACACTGGATTGGTATCATGTTAACTAAAATGAACATAGAATGGTATTACAATAGTACTAATTCTTACTATACTATGAAACTACGTATGGAAACATTCATATGTACTTTCGAATTAGTAAAGAGGGTATTAACCCTCTTTATAAGCGCATTAAAATTTATGGACAAATTAGTAGAAAATTATGACAAATTATTTATGTTTGACCTTATTAAATTATTGACTGAATTTAACTTAAAATCTAATGAACCAAAAGTCAATAAAACGTTACAAATAATTCGATTTGGGTCTACATTTTACAAATTTGACATACTGTTAAATAATTGTTTAAGTAATGATTCAGAAGCTATTTTATTGGATTTTTATAAAAGTAATCACGTTTATGATTATTCAATAAAGAGTGATTTACAAATACAATATTCTGAAAAATTAAAAAAAAAAGAAAAATCTAAAGAAGAATCTAAAAAAGGATCTAAAGAAGAATCTAAAGAAGAATACACATTTTTTGATTTTTTACAAGAAACTATTCTCAATAGTGTCGATGAAATTATTAAAATCTATTACACCAATCTTGGATTCGAATATAACGAGGAAACAAAAGAAAGTAATTATATCTTGTAAAAAAAATATTAATAAATAACAATTTAAGTTTTAAGTGACATTCTTACTGTATTAGTTCCAAATTTAAACAAGAAACCAAACACTACATTTTAATTGTATATTTTATGAAATCAAAGAAATATAGTCATTTATTTTGCGTTCGAATTATTTATTTTTCAATTAATGTACTCCACCTATAAATAAATGCTGCGTTGAATTCAGAATTATTTTCTAAGGGGTAGTCTAAGCATTGGTGCAAGAAGAAATTGAGGAGCAAAAATAGAAAATCTACATTAAACGAAATATTGCATCAATTTTAAAATTTTAAGTAAAAAAAATTGAAAAAATATCGAAAATTAGCGATTTTTAAATTTGTAATTTTTGGGGAGATTTCCCCTGTTTACGGGGAACGAGGGAATTTTTTTCTATTTTGAGGGTAATGTCTTTGACTAGATACGATTTGGGATCTTTTGACGTATTGTTCATCAAAATCGGTCCAGCGAGAGCTGAGAAAAAGTGGCAACAGACATAAAAAAAAAAAAACACATCATAGTATAATTAATAACTTCTTAGCCTCGCATCGAAGCTAAAATGTTTACATTATGTATACATAAAATATGATAATATTAATGTATTTAGTTGTGAGATTGTAAATATTAAAAAAAATATTATTGTAGTAAATAATTTTCCTTGTGGATAGGGGATAAGAATACTTCCACGGTCCCTCTGCCAGTCGTAAGAGGCGACTAATGAAGTTATGTCAGGTCGACAGCCGGCGTAAAAATCTTTGTCAAAAAAGTATGAAGAATCCTGAACAAAACTTAAGTGGATTATCCCATCTTGTATGTACGCGGGGACATCAGAAAGTAGTTAAAAACGGATAAGGCCTAAAGAATAAAGTGTTTGATACCAGCCGGCACGAGTTTTGCGGTAGCTGTTTCACTAGTCATGTGTACAGGTCTATCCAACGCTTGTAGTGTCAACGGTCTAGGGACATCACCTCTTAACTCTAGGCTGGACTCGTGTATAAGGGAGAAATATAGATACAAAATAAGAATAGGTACTTGGAATGTTGGAACATTAACTGGTAGAAGTAAAGAATTAGTAAAGTATTAAAGAGGAGAAAAGTTAACATTTGTTGTGTGCAGGATAGTAAGTGGAAAGGAGAGAAATCGAGGGAACTAGATAAAGGTTATGAAATAATATATTCAAGTAAGTCTAGTACAAAGAATGGTGTAGGGATAATTATGGACGAGGAGATGAAAAGTAAAATAGTAGAAGTAGCTAGGAAAATTGACAAAATTATGGTCGTAAAATTGATATGCGATGAAAAATTGTTGACTGTAATAAGTGCCTATGCGCCACAAGTGAGATGTGATGAAATAGACAAGGAAGTGTTTTGGAGAGAGATGGATGAGGTGATAGGTGGAGATATGAATGGACATGTAGGTAATGAGAGGAGAGGATATGAGAGATTACATGGAGGGTATGGTTTTAGTGGGAAGAATGAGGCTGGAGAAAGAATTCTATATTTCGCAGTATCGTATGATCTTGCTGTGGTTAATACTTATTTTAGAAAGAGGGAAGAACAATATATAACATATAAGAGTGGGAGGAATAGATCACAGATCAATTATTTTATGTAGAAGAGAGAGAGCGTAAAGCGAGTAAAAGATTGTAAAGTTATACCAGGCGAGAGTGTAACTACACAACATAGACTGATGATAATGGAGTTTTGGTGTACCGGAAAAAGAATAAACAAAAATAGAAGAAACACGGGGAAAAATCGAAGATCCGGCGGTGGAAATTGAAAGGGGAAAATGAAAAAGAGTTTGTAAAAACGGTAAAAGAGAGGACGGTGTGGAATGTCGAGGGAGACATAAATGATGTATGGAATAGATTTGCTAGTTGTGTAAAGAATACTGCAAAGAAAATTGTTGGTGAGAGAGTAGGAGTAGAATGCTAGGAAACAAGGAAACCTGGTGGTGGAATGAGGATGTTAAAAAAATCATAGAAAGTAAAAAATAGCAATTCAAAGTATGGCAGATGAGCAAAAGGAGAAGAGAAAACTGGATAGAGTATAAAAGCTTGTGGATAGAAGCCATTTGTGTGCAGTAAGTAAAGCGAAGTTTAAGAAGTATGATTAGTTGTATGATAGACTAGGAACAAAGGAAGGCGAGAAAGAAATCTATAGACTTGCAAAGATAAGAGAGAAAAGGTCTAAAGATTATTATTATATAAGGTGTATAAAAAGTGTTGATAATAATGTACTGTCAAGTGATGATGATGTGAAAAAAAAGTGGAAAGAGTATTTTGAACAATAATCTTGTAACGTTGTAAAAATGATTTTTACGTTATTTTTTAATTCTGCCCATTGTGATCCGGCGTAAAATAATTCGATTCAGAGGATCGCCAAAAAAACTAATTAGTTATTGGCGCTAAACACCTTATTTTTATAAAGTAATATTATTTTAGATAAATAATTAGTTAATGTAATAAAAATATTTTATGTTATAAGCATAAAATATTATAAACAATTCTTGTAAATTACATAAATTCGATTACTAAGTGAACCATAATACGAACAAAATCTAATATCTATGTCTAATCTAAAATTTATGAATTTATAGTTTGTTAAATAATTTAAATATTTGAAGCACAATGGATAATATTTCATAATTTAACTGGTAAAATAAAAACCAATAACCGTTCAAATATTATTTATTTTATTATTATTGAAAAATTAAATTTAGATTTTTATTAATTTTAACGAAAACAATTATAAGTAATTTTGATAATTTATACATATATATATATAAATATATTATAGATCAAGAAATCTTTCTTCTTGCCGCTCTCGATATTTAGTTATATTGTAGTCCGAACTAAATTGTTTGAACGACCAAAAAACCTTAAGTTTATGCTTAAATATATTTATAAAATATTCTAAAAATATATTAAATCTTTCAAAGTTATCATTCAAGCCTATGTTATCAGAGATATTTTGAAAATCTTCAATTTTTTCTTTTTTTCCTTTGCTTATTTGAACTAATTTCATTAGTGTATTAGTTTTCTCAATTGAATTCATGTTATATATTTCATTATTTACTTCTATTTGTAATATTTCAAACGACTCAACCCCAAATGGTTCTTTTATCATGTCTTCAACCCTACCGATTATACAATTGTTTAAATGATCATAGTTTTCAAACATATCATCTGGTTTCCATTCAAATCTTGTTAGGAAATTTAAAAATTTAGGAAATAATAAATCAAATATATACATATTACGTTGCAAGAAATTATGCATTTGGGAATTATACTGAAACACAATTTTTTCATCCTTATTTATTAAATACATTAGATGCTTTCTAATTAAATGTAAAGTTACGACTCTAAAGATGTTAAAGATTTTATCATGATAAACTCTAATTTTCGAAATCCATATATCAAACCAATAATAATTCTTTGCAGCTTGACATGCAATATTAATATCTTTGATAATGTCTTCGTAAGTTTTCTCATTTTGTTCACCGAAATCCATTATTATAGTTTTCAACATATCTGTATTTTGAATAATTTCGTGAAGATATATTATATTAAGAGAAACCCAATCTTCTACTTCTTCACCGTGCAGTAAAATATTATTAATATTATTTCTATTTTCCATTACTGTCTCTACTTTTTTTATCATTGAAATCATCTCTTTTTTTTCTAGTGCGTAAAATTCATCTGTTATATTGTATTTATTATTTTCTCGACAGTAATTAGTTGTATACAACGATAAACAATCCTTTATATTTTTTAGAATTGTCGTAACATGTGATTTCATCGATAATATAAAGTTCTTCGTGTGGTTTTTTATATAAATTGCAATCATGTACATTTTCCAAAAAGGCTGTAAATATTGTGCTAGTACATCTACCTTTAGTTGTACAGCTAGCATTTGTTGAATAATTGATTCATTCAACAATAAATGATCGTATTCATAAGTAGAATAATATTCTATTAAGGATTCAATAGAGCTTATGAATTGTAAAAAATTATATAAATCACCGCAATAAAGATCGTTGTAGATAAAATGTGGTTTGGTATACGTTTCAAATTCTGGATCTTCTCTCTCGATTATAGTATCTTTCCAATCATCGAAATCCATTTCAAACATTTCAGGATTAGTATTATAAGAAAATCCAGTATCAAGATTGAAAGCTACTCTTACTTCTTCTGCTTTTTTAAGTTCATCAACAAATCCTTCTGCCTCCATATAGTAACTACAAATGATAAATTGTATATTACAAAATATCCCAAATATGATTGTTAACACACAACATTGATAAAAAATCATTATTAGTATCTTCATTAATCAATAATAAACTTCTTAAAAGGAGTACTTATTCAAAACTACACTATAATACATTTTAGATATTTTAATGTATGATTTTATTTATATAAAAATTTATTATACTGAACACCATTTAAAAAAAATGCGTGTTTAAACAGTTAAAAAGTGATTTATTGTCACAGTATTAATTTAAACATAATTTTAGACTTAGTATTAAAAAAAATGAATTGTTTGATATAAAATTGAGTAAAATCGATTTTCATAAAAAAAAACAAATAAATATCTAAAAAAAAACCCAGCACAGGGGGGTCGCGGCACAGTGGTGACGTGGCATAGTTGGATCAAGTATAATGATATCTGACAGTGATTAAAATCACTATAAAAAAAAAACGCTTCGATGCAAATCTTTAGATAGTGTTTAATTTTAAAAAATTGGTGGATTATTCCAAAAGCTTCATAAACTGCTAGTTCCTTATTAATATCCTGATTAAGACAAAGTATGTAGAATAAAAAAGAGATTATTAGAAAATAGTATTTCCCATAATTTTATTATTTCGTCTGGGGGGAATATACATAAGAAAATTTTTTATTTTCCTTTCCAAACGAAAAAAATGTATTTTCACCCAGCACAGGGTGGTCGGGGCATAGTAGTGACATGGCATAGTTGGATCAAGTATAATGATATCTGACAGTGATTAAAATCACTATCAAAAATAAACGCTTCGATGCAAATCTTTAGATAGTGTTTAATTTTAAAAAATTGGTGGATTATTCCAAAAGCTTCATAAACTGCTAGTTCCTTATTAATATCCTGATTAAGACAAAGTATGTCGAATAAAAAAGAGATTATTAGAAAATAGTATTTCCCATAAAAAAATTATATTGATCAATACACTTTTCAATAAGTTATAGCATTATAATGTTAAAAATGTAAAAAATAAAATTGAGAATTTTCACACAATAATAGCATTTGGTAGCCATTTTCACCTTGAAGATAAAATAAAGTCCGAAATTTTTTTTTTCCATGATAAAGTATATTACATTAGCTTTAATTTAAGATATATATAAAAGTGTCAGACTTTCCGGAACACTTTCAAAATTTAAGTTGAAAAAGTCAATTTTTTGTGAAAAAGTTGTCATTTTGAATCCCCCCCTGTAGGCAGGTAAAAAGTCAGATTTATAAAAAAAATATACCAAATGATAGGTAAAGACATCATGCATCTACAAAAAAAAGAATTATATTGATCCATACATCTTTCGAGAAGTTATAGCATTATAAAGTTAAAAATATAAAAAAGAATTTTTTTACAAAAATCGTATTTTTTTTATTAAGTTTAATGTCTGTTTTCACCATGAAGATAAAATAAAGTCCGAAATTTTTTTTTACCATTATAAAGTATATTACATTAGCTTTAATTTAAGATATATATAAAAGTGTCAGACCTTCCGGAACACTTTCAAAAGTTACGTTGAAAAAGTTCTACTTTCTATATGCATTTTTTATATTTGAAGCCCCCCATATATAGGGAAATATTCTGATTTAAAAAAAAAGTATATCCAATGAAAGATGTATATAAATACTACTTCTCATGAAAAAATTGTATTGATCCATACATTTTTTAAAAAGTTATAGCACTTTAAAGTAAAAAATGTAAATTATAAAATCGAAAATTTTCACACAAAAATAGCATTCGGTAGCCGTTTTCACCATGAAGACAAGTCCAGAGGTCAAATTTTTTTTTTTCAAATTAAAGTACATTACATTAGCTTTAATTTAAGATATATATAAAAGTGTCAGACCTTCCGGAACATTTTCAAAAGTTAAGTTGAAAAAGTTAATTTTTTGTGAAAAAGTTGTCATTTTAAATCCCTCCCTATGGGNTTTTGTGAAAAAGTTGTCATTTTAAATCCCCCCCTGTGGGCAGGTTAAGTGTCAGATTTACAAAAAAAATATACCAAATGATAGGTAAAGACATCAAGCATCTATATAAAAAAAAATTATATTGATATGTTCATTTTTGAAAAAGTTACGGCAGTTTTTAGTAAAAAAAATTGAAAAAATTTCGAAAATTAGCGATTTTTAAATTTGTAATTTTTTTGGAGGTTTCCCCCATTTACGGGGAACGAGGGAAATTTTTTCAATTTTGAAGGGTAATGTCTTCGACTAGATACGATTTGTGATCTTTTGACGTATCGTTGAAAGAAATCCGTTCGGTGAGAGCTGAGAAAAAGTGGTAACATCATTATTATTCATTCATTTATTGTCTTAGTTGATATTTTAAAAACAACATTTCATGATATAAAATGGTTGCTTAATAACTTACCCAACATGAAGGATTCTTATTTTATTCAAATGGAACCATTCAGTCATCAAGGTCTTGTAGTTGGTAAAAGAGCTCACATTGTTGTTTATCCTTATATAAAAAAAACCTGAACATAATATTAGACAAATATTCGTAAGTAAAATTAAAACTATATTAAAAATATTATTAATTTAAAAAAACTAAAAAATATTAAAAATATTAAACTCAAAAGCCACAAAAAAATTAATGAAAAGTCGCGGATACGTATTTCGGAAACAATGTTACCATTATCAACGCTAAACACATACTGAAAACAATACAAATATTCGTAAAATTATTTTAGAAAAAATGTTTCGAATTCCTTCAATTGTGGTTCAGTGAAGCTTATAGCTTTAATATTTAGACGGAACTAGATACTATGACATAGTTATTATTTTTAAATTTATATTTTAGCTTCGATGCGAAGCTGAGAAGGTATTGGTTTTACTATGATGTGTTTTTTTTTTTTTTTTTTTTTTTTTTTTTTTTTTTTTTTTT